GTACTGGGCTACTGTCTCTATGGGTCTCTATGGATCTCTATGGGTCTCTATGGATCTCTATGGGTCTCTATGGGTCTCTGTGCGAGTCTCTGTGTGTACGCTGAAGTTCTTTCGCATCGTAGGTAGCCAACCGTGCTAATCGGAGGCGCGGGGAGGAGGACAACAAACTAAGCACAAAAAACAGTGCTAAAGAAATGCGTTACCAATCTGGATGATTTAAAAGTTCCATAGCTCCCAGCGGCTTCCTAATATCAGAAGGAAGAGCGTTCCAGACGGCCGCAGAAGCGCATCTGAAGGCGCGAGTGATGATGCGGTGACCCTGCAGTCTTGGCTGTAGAGAGGGGGGAAATGTTGCTGCTGTGTATGAGCCCCTTCGAGCGATTTGGAGGTCAAATTTTCAGGATTGGGATGTTTGGCCAATACTAAAAATCCCAAATTGTCCGATTAATTTTTTTTTAAAGTACTGAGACTAAGCGCAAAGAATATAAGCAATGTTGCACAGCATCAAAAAAATGCTGTTCTATCACAAGCTCTGTTATTATATTCATATATACCAACTTTGATCCTCTGCACGCCGATAATGTATTTTCATCCACTGCACCGTCACGAGCGCCCTTAACTTCTGGCCGCTTTGCGCCGTCAGCAAAGTTAGAATTTACGTAACAAACCAAAAAAACGGTACAAGTCCCATTGCTTAAGGTTTCACGAAAAGGCACCATGCGTCAAATCGGCCTTTTTTGCTTTCCTCACATTCCCACGTCCTCTCAAGCCGCCACTGCCATCGCACGCCGGTGAGGGCAACGCCCCAGCCCAGCCAATTAAAACCGCGCGGCACGGAAACCCACAGCGCTCGGCGGAGGCCGGTCCCTCAAACATTCCACGTTTGAGGGCAGCGTTGAGCGAGCGTTTGAAACGATTCGCCTGCAAGGTGGCGGTGGCGTGACAAGAGGCATCCTTTTTGGCGATTACCTGATTAAATTCCTCAGCCCCCCACCCCCCCCCCACCACCCCCCCCCCCACAAATAAATAAATAAACACACACACACACACTGAAGAGCACAAAGGAAACGCTGTTGCATGGTCAAATACTTTTGTGAATTTCCGTTTTTTTTGCCTCTGCACATTACCCCCGCGGGGATCCCGCTCATTAGATTAACCACTTTGGGTTTGTATGCTTAATGAGATGCCATCTGTGACGCATTAGCAGCCATCTGCTACTACCGGTGCACGGAGGGGGCCCGCGCGCGAGCTTGCGCGTGCGCTCCCAGCCTCTACCCGCGTGGCCCCAACGCAACAAGGGCCAGGCGCATTCCTGCCACGCTCTCGCGATGAAGCCATTGTCGCCGCCGTTATGCGGCGGGGGGGGGGGGGCCCTCTCTCTCCTCTCTCAGCCAGGGCCAACTTTATGGAAATTTCTGGGCATTTACGCCATCGACGGCGACCTGTGACGGGACTCGCTCGTACAGCTTGTCTCAAACAAAAATTGTAGTAGCGAAAATGTTTTTTGTTGTTGTTGTTGTTGAAGAAAATACAAATCCACGGAACAGCGCGCCGTGCAATACGCTTACTTAAAAAAGCTGGTTTTTGAGAAAAGCGGAGGGGAAACCTCGCGACGTTGCCTTGGCTGCGCTCGAAGAGATTCCAAAGGGGGGGGGGGGGGGGGCGCGACGTCGCCCCGCGCGACTCTCGCTCGCGGCCGAGGTATCGCGTCGGGTGGATGTGCGAACCACCCAACGCATTCGCGAAGGTCTGTTGCAGCGCGACGGTTACAATCGCGCGCAAATGCTACAGTGGGTGTGCCCGGCCAATTGGTCAGGGCGGTGATGTGACGCGTTTTTTTTTATGCAACGTTTTCCCTGCTAAGATGTGCTGTGCCGCTAGCACATCGTCGATTCTGGAATGCGTACGCGTGCAGGCGGTTATTTATACGCAAGTACGATGAACTCGTTTCACACCTGGGCATAGCCAACCGTGCTAAATCGGAGGTGAGGTGGGGGGGGGGGAGGCAAAGGACAAGAAACGAAACGTCAAAAAAGCTGTCCTCAAGGAATGAGTTTTTCAATCTCGATTTAAAAGTGCATAGCTCCAGTGGCTTCCAAATAATATTATACGCGTGTATATATATATATAACACATCCTAACTTAGCGGTCCCGTCGAGTAAAAAAACCCAACTCTCGCACGTTCTACTGCTGCGCCGCGAGAGAGTCGCTCAGGGAGGTGACAAGGAGATGACAGGACATGAGCCGTTGCTGAACTTTCACTTGAACTTTGTGTTGGCGAGAAGACCGGGCGGCTTCTCCGCGTGAAAACAACTGCCCAGCCCCACTTTTGACCGATTCAAGGTCAAGGATTAAAGCAATTCTACCACTGCCCCCACCCCCCCCCACTTTGGAGATGACCCCCCACCCCACAGCCTCCTCCTGCTGCTGGAGATTACCTGGGGCACTACTACCGTCGCTGACAGCATTAAATTACAGCTGAGACGATCAGCTGACTCGGTCGATGGATCGACTGCAAATCAGAAGCGACAACTTTTTGCGACTGCAGGAATGAGTTGCGGGTATGTACGGTTTGTTGAACTTCTTTTGCACCGTACGTAGCCAACCGTGCTAATCGGAGGTGCGGGGGAAGGACCACAAACTAAACACAAAAATCAGTTTCGAAGAAATGAGTTTTCAAACTATTGAGTTTTCATTTGGGCTTATTCAATGCCACCATAGTGGCACCAGAGCAGCCCATTTAACGCCACGCATTATGCACGCATCACGTCCGTAACGGCACAGTCTCACGCATCCATTTCTTTACCCAGCCTGGTCCATATGAACATAAACTATAACACAAAAAAATGAAAGCATCAACAAATGTTTATTTTACCAATGCCCACCGAGCTACAGAGCTCTTTTTCAAAAGCGCCATGGCCACAAATGATAGCTCAATGTTCGTGGCTGAACACGTGGAAATTCCACGCAGACAAATACTCTAAGCGTATGTCGATTTCTAAAGGTCGAGGGGAAAACCGGAGGACCCGGGGAAAAATCCACGCGACTCCGGGTAGAGAGAGACAACATGCAAACTCCGAATAAACAGGCATCGAACCCATCACCTCCTGCATACCAGGCGGGGGAGATAATATCTCGCGCCACCGTGGCGCCCCATAATCCTGCCGCCAGGGCAAACCTCCCCCAGGCACAGATATAATAAGTGCGGTCAACGGGGCTGCGGTGCAGACAGTAGGATAAAAAAGAAACAATGTGCTTTAAACTTCAAACGCTAATGCACTGTACTGCATTGTATACGTAATATTTAGCCAGTTGAAGTTTTTCACGTCATTAATGGTGTTTGGTGAATCTTCAGTGTTTTATGGATCATATATATTGGGCGCATTGGGACCTACAGATGAAATGCGCCCTATAAGTGTAAATTATTACGACTCAACAGGAGGAGTGTATTGGATGAAGCACTGACGTACGCACGTATGTATGTTTGTTCAAGTTCTCTCGCACCGTACGTAGCCAACTGTGCTCATCTGAGAAGCCATAGGGGCACAACCTGGACTGCCGTCAATGCTGGCTTTGGAATTTGGAGAAAAATATCCACGGAGGATTTCTCTGGCAATGTTACGATTCATCATTGATATTTATGAATCATTAAATTGTGGTTGAGACCTTACCACCGCCCGGCACAGCCAAACAACTTAAACTTGTCCACGTGTACAAGCGCTTAACGTGCCAATAATTATTATCGTTTCGGCTGAATCAGAGGGTCTCATTGTGGCAACAGTGTTTGGAACACTGTGGCATTCACAGTGAGAGCATCCAACTACGTGTAAGGGATTACGATGATACTGACGGCACTTTGACCAGATCCCGGTCTGTGGCGATTGGCGAAATATCTGTGTGGTCCCATTCAAGTGTTGCATCAAGATGCGATGAGCTGCACTGGCAGAGAGCAGAATGGTGGTTTATGGTTGAGAATGATGTTGGTGCTGCTGATTATCCTTAATATAGGTTTTTTTTGGGTTAGATCGCGTAAATATGTCGTTAAACCCACCACCACCTGACACAGCCAATTAGTAAGGTTTGTCACGTAAACAGAACGTGGCCAATTCGTTACTAGTACAGCACACCGGTGTGTTGGAGAGCAAATCCACAACATTTACAATCGGAGTACGACGGTTCGCCAGTAGTTACAACTAGCTTCATCAGGCTAGTTGTGACAAACCTTACTAATTGGCTGTGTAGGGTGGTGGAGGGTTTAACGACACATTCATATTTACGCGCTCTAACCCAAAAATGGATGATTATGAATAATATTGGTTCCAAAATCGTACGTGTTAAACTGGTGCCGATTATGTTGGTGCTGATTATGTTGATGATGGCAGTGGTATAAGCAATTGTGCGTCATAGTCGTTGCTATAACGGTGGCAGTTGGAGGTGGTGGCGATCATGATGGTGGTGATGGTCATGTGTAGAGCGGTAATGCAGTAGTTATCCCGCCATGCTACAAACCCGGTGACCCCGAGTTCAATTCCCCTTCAGGTCGAACACCAGTGACGAATATCTGGACTGGTCCTGAGCCTCCCCAAGGTGGACTCAGCCTCAAATGAGTACCTGGTTCGATGTGCAAACATCGCCACTGGGGAGACAAAGGTGGCCGGGGCATGGTGCTGTCCACCCATCATCCCCCCGTGTGCTTCAAAAGGTGCTCACTAACAGCACTTGCTCAAAAAGTGTGTCAGAGGCAATATGGGAGATCTTTTGGTGGTGGTCATGATGGTGGTAATAACGGTGGTAGTTACGGTGGTGGTGATCATGACGGTGGTAGTAGTGGCGGTGGCAATGGCAGTGGTGCAGGAGGTGATGATTTTCGTGGCCGTGGCGATATCAACGGTGGCGATGACGGTGCTGGCAACGGCGGCGGCGGTCGTAACAAACAACGCTGGCGGCGATGGGTTTTCACCGACGCACGCGAGCGCCCACACACGGCCCCGCGGACTCACCAAAGTACTCGGCCTTCGTCTGCGCCTCCATCTCCAACTCGATCTGCCGCGTCAGGGCCTCCAGCTTGCGCTCGGCGGCCGTCGCGTCCCCGCCGCCCGGCGCCTCCAGGAGGCCGGGCGTGCCGCGGTGGGGAGGCCGCCCCACCTGCTCGCCCATTCCTGCCAAGAGAGGACGCCGCGCTCATCATCGTCGTTTGTCGTCGTCACCACCGCCCGCCCGCCCGCCCGCCCGCGGCGATGTTCACACACCACGCAGCAGGTACTCATTTCGACCAAGGAGGGAGGCCCTGGACCGGTTCAAATGGTCACCACACTTGGGCCACCGGGTTTGTAGCGCAGCACGCCAACCACTTGCACTAACGCTCCCCATAAACAAGCACAAAGGCCTGTATCCCCCCCCCCCCCCACCGTGTAGCCTTAAAAGACTGTCGGAGTAAGTGCTGTTAGCGAGTAGCACCTGTGAGGTATGGCACGGCACACGAGGGGGTGTCGGTGGCCGGCACCACCACGCTCGGCCACCTTTGTCTTCCCAGCGGCGATGTTTACACATCGCACCAGGTACTCATTTGAGGCTGGGTCGACCTAGGGGAGGGGCTCAGAACCGGTTCAGATAATCGTCTCTGGTATTGGCTGTGAGCAGAATCGAACTCGGCTCGCCAGGTTCGTAGCGAAGCGCGCTGACCGCTACACCACCGCTCCCCACCACCACCACCGCCACCACAAGGTATCATCATAGACAAAGCCGTAGATGTCACCACCACCACACCTCACTGGCAACGCTTCCTACCTCCAGCAGCAGCAACTAGTGCTGCTGCAGAGCCGACACGACAACCGCGCGGGAAACATTAACGTCAACAACCCCTGACTTCTGACAAAGCATGCTAGAATTGCCGTGATATGCAGTTCAAGTACAGAATATGAAACGTACGACAACCAAATAGGTTTAAGATAATGCACAACCAACAAGCATTATGAGACAGATGAAAGTTAAAGGCGAATCTCATATCCGCACGTACCCACGCATGCACACACACGTAGCAACCATCCCAAGATTGTTTGATTTCCCTCCAAGCGACGACGAGTGAAAGGACCTCCACATCTATTTATACGACAACAACCAATTCTGAAAAGGTGCACAACAACAATAAAAAACAACCCGTGGGTGAAAGAATCTATAGACTAAAATATTTCATGATGCGGAACTTTCCGTCAAACAGTGGCGCCCCTGGAAGAAAACAAGAATGACGAATGTGGACGTCGCATTCATGTTATTTCATTTCCGGTTCTGTTCGGTGACATTATTTATCCCTCTTCCCTCCAACGTCTCCCACTCCCTTGTAAATCAACTGCTCCCGATTGTTACCCCAACCGTTGTCAACCGCTACGCCAACGGTTATCCCCGACCGTTACCCCCGACCATTACACCCAACCGTTACCTCCAACCGTTATGCCAAACGTTACCCCCAACCGTTACGCCAACCGCTACCCCCAACCGTTACCTCCAACTGTTACGCCAACCGTTATGCCAAACGTTACCACCAACCGTTACGCCAACCGTTACCCCCAACTGGTACCCCCATGGGTACCCCCACGGGTTCCCCCAACTGGTAGGGCAGCAATCCCAGATGCTCCACATCCCCCGGTCGGTCCCTCATTTTGAGGGTGTACCGCTCTGGGACTTGTTGATTCCCCCCCCCCCACCCCCCTCTTAGAAATCTACTTTCCCTTCTGGGGTTCTTAAAAAATAACGATAACAATGTAAAACAATGGCGCGGGGGAGATTTGGAGGGACCCCTCCCTAAAAGGGACTCTCGTACTCGGCACAAACAAATGACGGCGACAGCGAGCGAAACCGCTAAAGGGCGCGCGACCGGCCACGCTCGGCCTGCTCAACGGCCCGCCCTGTTACGCGACGCTCCGCCGTCGCACGGCACGACCCGCCACGCGCGTTACTGCGGCCTTGCACGCTCTCCGAAGAGAAACCGCCCGGGGACCGCGCGTCGATACGAGCGCCAGAAACGCACCTCGGACCGCTCTTCCTCTCGCCATCTTCGGCGCTCGCGACAATACATTCCTGAAAAGGAACTCAATCGTTTCAACCATCTTCTCCGCCGTGTGTCGGCCTTCCCTCGCTATGTATAAGGAGGTATCTGGCATGTTGGTCACGTAAGGACGAGCAGCTGACTCCGCCACCGTAGGCCCTGCTGGGCTGCCTGGCCACGGAAGCATTGAGCATGTGATGCTGCCCGAACCAGCCCCTATGTCCCCCTCCTCCTCTCTCTCTCTCGTGCTCCCGTTCTCCGAGATCTCCCCTTACCCTTCTAAAGCCACACACCACCTTTATAAAACCACTGCACATTTTCAGTTGGCTCACGCGACATTTGAATGGCCGCCCGCTGTGCGGGAAAGTCAACCAGTGTGTTTGTCCCGTGGATAAGACTCGCCCCCACCATAGGAATGTGTAAATTACACCGCCCGGGCCCAGGGGCTATAAACAGGAGATGAGCATTGTGGACTGAATGCTCATCTGGGCAGGAAATCACTTCTGACTTTTTTTGATGACGACGATGATGATGAAGCACGAAGCAATGTAGTACATTGGGAAATGTACCTTGACACACCCTTAATCCCGGGCCACAATCCTGCGGTGTGAATGTTGCCACGCTCGGCTCCAGCTCGCTCGACCCGAGCGCTGAGCGTGCGGTAATTTTCAGGAGTTCACGGCAACGGGCACAGGGGTCACGCCCGGCTAAAGTAAAACCCCCCGAGCGTTGCACATTTTCAGTCAGCCGGCACTCGACGGTCTGAAGAGCGGTGGACGGGCTACGAAAGTGGCAAACAAAAAAACATCGTTGAGGACCCGACCGTCCAAGTGCCGGGATTCTCTCTCTCACGATGGCCGTGGACCCCACGCTGAACCGCGGCTCGGACGCGGCACGGGAGATGTGCGTACACGGTGTTCCATCAACGGAAAAAATAAAAGAATCGCAAAACTGCGACTGTTGTAAAGGCCAAACCTTCAAACGCATCACCGACGAGCGCGCGATCCACGCACACCCCGGCGGTATCGCTGCAATCCGTACAGAGTCTACTGCTGCCTTGGATCGGTTGAAGGACCTTAACGTTCAACCATGACATCTACACAAACTGTTGCTTACATGCCATATGAAAGAAAAAGAAGAAGCCGATGCAATGGGCACAACGGTGCCATGGAATCTCCGCAGACACCACCACGGCAGTAGATCGCCGCGACGTTGAGAGTCGGTCAGGATGCCGACGGTTCACCACCGTCGCACGGCGATTATAATGATCGTCACAATTCCAAGGAGGAGGCTCAAATTCAAAAGTCGATTTTTTTGTTATCGTGCGTCTCGTTTGCTATGTCGTGCCCCGTTCGTCCTCGTAAGTGTTCTATGGTTTCGTATGGATGTTGAACTTCTTCCGCACCGTACGTTGCCAACCGTGATAATTGGAGGTGCGGAAGCAGACTAACTAAACACAAAAAGCAGTCCTTTTTTGTCTTCCTAATGTTGGGAGGGAGAGCGTTCCAGACGGCCGCATTTATCAACACCATCATCGCCATCATCATCACCACCACCATCCACATCCCCCACTTCTTCATCATGCAGGTACCTACTCAACATCACCACCACCATCACCACTACCATGATTTGCTTGTGGAGACAGAACTGAGGTCTGTTTATATTTATTATTATCCATAATTCTCCCCAACAAGCCATAATGCTAAGCTAAAACACACAAAATGTAACTGACATTGACCAAACATCCTTATGCTGAAAAGTCACAAGCAAATTACACAAATGGGATTAAAAACAGCAACATCGGCCCATTACCGCCAAACACATTTGGCAGGCCCCTCCTTACAATGAATCTTGAGGATTTGCCTGGTAAAACAAGCGTAATGTACGTGTGTGTGTGTGTGTGTTGGACTTCTTTTGTGCCGTACGTAGCCAACCGTGCTAATCGGAGGTGTGGAATATGATAACAATAATAATGGTGAGTTTATATACAATTAAACGTGCTCTGTGGTGACGTGAATGGAGGCCATGGCTGATTAATAAAAATAAAAATTGCAGGACGCAAGTTCCTCAAAGTGAGTCCATGTGGGTGATAATCTGCGCGAGTCTATGGATCAAAGAAAAAGGCTCATATTCAAACCTCGATCATTTTGTTATTGTGTGTCCCGTTGCGATGTCTTGCACTGTTTCTTCTCGTAAGTGTTCTACGGTTTCGTACGTATGTTGAACTTCTTTCGCACCGTACGTAGCCAACCGTGCCAAACGGAGGTGAGGGGGAGACGGACAATAAACGCTTCCTGCCATCTGTCTATAGCCTGCGTCGTCTCGTCTGTACGGTCCTGCTTCGTGCTGCGTTACGTCTCGTTTGGCGTTCGTCTGTGTCGGCAACATCGACCGACATTCCTCGCATACGACGTCACGGCAGTGACGTCACTCCACCGCGATGACGATATGCCCGACCGTGAGTTCGAAGTCTTTGTTTGTTTCTTTGAATGATCTTCAGGTTTTTTGACGGACAGCCCACAAAGGCAACACACAAGCTGATAGGGTGTATAATTTTGGCTGCATCTTCCACTGAAATAAAGTTATTATTTATTTTCTTCAACCTCATATTACAATTGTGCTCTTGGCGTCGTGTCATTGGATGAAGGCATCCCCATTCAAAACTCCGTGGGTAACACTACACCGTCCTGTAACAACAATGAAATGAGTCCAGAAGAGGACGTCGCAGAACTACTCCAGAGGGCCCTTCGAAAGGACACCTTTACCCAACGCGAGGAGCACACCTTGCGGTGCCCAGCAAAGATTACTTGCAGCATGTATAAGAAACCGAAACTTCTAAGCGGCCGGAAGAGGGAAAAAAAAATGACATTTGCTTGTGCGCCAGCGGTCATAAGCGACCAAACTGAGACCATTAAAATCTCCGCACCACTTTGAGGGCCTGGTTTAATCAACGGTTCGGCAGCCGAAATCCTGACTCGAACCCAGGATCTCAGTAGCACCGACTCAGTGCTCTGACCTTTGGGCCACCCAGCCACATCAAAACACAACGCGGTTTAATATCTGCCTGCATCTCTCTGGATCAGAAAGCCAGCCCTGCAGATGGTTGCTTTTTTTTTG